ATCAAATAAAAAGTATTAAAGAATCCCTATAGACAAAAGCCTAAGTAATTAAGAAAACTAGACAAATAGGAAAAGGAAACAAAAGATAATTTAGAAAACCCTTACAAACACAGGACATACCAAATAAGCAAAACAAACAGTCAAAAGACACAAAATATAAATTACAAAAGGGACAGGCAGGAGATTGCCACAGAACAAATATGAAAAACTTTCTTAAAGCTAAAAGAGATTACAAAAAACCAATAATACAATCTGGCCACACCGCAGAGTTTGCCCTCCGGCGGAAATAAAGACAAACTCAAACAGGATTTGAAACATTAGGCACAAATAAAAACACTCACACAAAATCAACTTACAAAGGGAGAAAAGGGTATAAAAAACCAGGGAGTTACCATGGGAAGCTAGCTAGCCCAGGAACGCAGACTTCTCGCTGTTCTCCACCTTCCTGAAAAATAAAAAGATCCAACTTTCAAGCAGTTGTCCATATCCTTGCACCGAAGCTCTCCCAGCGGGAAAATTAAATCCTCGAAAGAAAGGCATTTTGACATCTTTCAACAAAAGCCTAAACACAATAGATTTTATGTTCGCTGTATTTGCAAATTGGGATGGAAGGATGAAAATAGGAATCAGACCAAAAATGATTGATCTTGCAACTGAGCAAAATAAATTGTTGCAGTATCCATAATTCAAACTAGCTTTGGGTATTACTGTTGTTTTCTCTAAAACAAAATGTGGTAAACATGAGCTGTTGCTCTTCCTCTCTCAGCATTGGAGATTATATATGCTCTGAATTTTGTATTGTAGCACTAGCAATCGCAATAGCACTTAGACTTATATATAGTGCTTTACAGTCCTCTCTAAGCGCTTTACAGAGTCAGCATATTGCTCCCAACATTCCTGGTCCTCATTTTACTGACCTCAGATGGATGAAAGTCTAAGTCAACCTTGAGCCTGGTGAGATTCGATCTGCCAAATTTCAGTCAGGCAGCAGGCAGCAGAAGTAGCCTGCAGTACTGCACTCTAGCCACTGTGCCACCAAAGCTCTTATTGATACATTAAGATTAATAATTTGAAAGTAGTTGTGTTTCTGCCCAAGAGAGGAAAAGATTTTAAATTTTTACTGATTCTGGTATCCTTGGTAACTCTCTGAGCTTGATGGTTTGCTTGCAGATGTTTCATCATCTAACTAAGTAATATCATTGAGACTGTTACCTAGTTGGGTAGTGAAACATCTGGAAGCAAACAACAAAGTTCAGAGACTATCAAAGACTCCACAGTTCAATCCTCAGCTCCATAAATTATTTTCTGATTCTGTTGATAAATGAATTCTCATGTGTGGGTAAACAGCTCCATCAATCTTGTACTACCCATGGAGTACAAGGTGTGTGGAGCTGTTTACCCAAACATATTGTAGAAACTATTCTATTAAATATTTCCTCTGACAGGTATGGAGGAGCTGTACCCAGAGGACGGAACCATGGTAAGAAATTTATCCTATTATCCTTATTGTCTTTGAGTTTCTTCTGTTGGTACCATGATGGCAGCCATATTTTCTTTCCTTCACTAGTGATACTAATTGCAGATTATAACATTTGTGATGTACTTAATGCTAGTAGAGTTATTAATGGGATTATTTCCATGAGGGGCTTTATTGACATTGGGGAGTGGCAATCACTGTTGCAGGATTAGCCATATCAGTAGCACTTAGACTTAATTTACTGCTTCATAGTGCTTTACAGCTCTCTCGTAAGTGGTTTACAAAGTCACCAGATTGCCTCAAACAATCTGGGCCCTCATTTTACCCACTTCAGAAGCATGGAAGGCTAAGTCAACCTTGAGCCAGTCAGGATCGAACTCCTGCCAGTGGTCCAAATTAGCCTGCAATTCTGCATTGTAACCACTGCACCACTACAGCTCCCTGGAGTGTGCTTAATATTCCAAGGTGAAACTCGCCCCTTCAGGGGTCCTGAACCTAGAGATCACCTTCCAATTTAACATTTGTAGGGTCAAGACAAAATGAGGTATCTTATTCCTCAGTGTTATAACTGCTCCTACAACCTACAATTGGATGTTTAAAAAAGTCTAGTTTAATCCATTAACAGCAATTATTAGTTTTATAATTGTTGTCATTGTTTGAGATAGTGGAGGAAAAAAGAGGCATGGAAGTAAAGAATTGATTAAATATTGAAAACTGGTTTGGATGTCAAAAATGGATTTCTGCCTACGCAAGTGACTTTAGGGTTGCTTTTGAGATCTTTCTTATAAAAAGCTAAGATTCATGTTTCTAATACATTATCTCTGTGTATTCTACAGATGTGCTCTCTTCTTCATCCACATATTGGTTTTAGACACATTTACAGACTCCCAAGTTTCTTTTGATCTGTATAAAAGCATTTGAGTTCTGGGTACTATACAGGGGTGGGATTCTACCAGTTCACACCTATTCTCTAGAACTGGTTGTTAACATTCTAAGCAGTTCAGAGAACCAGTTGTTAGAAGAAATTACTGGCCTAATCCTTTAAGGAAGGCAGGAAGGAAACATTCTGGTGTTGCTTACAGAAACTGCCTCTCCATTAACCCTTATTACATTCTTGACAGGACTAGACTTCCTGTCTCAGGAATGTCTCTGGAGTTTTTTTTCCCCTCCTTTGCTGGTACTTTGCTTGTGTGGAGTGATCAAAGTTACAATGGCACTGAAAAAAGTGGCTTAGGACCATTTTTCACACTTATGACTGTTGCAGCATCCCCACAGTCATGAGAGGCCAGGTGAGGAGATACATACCTCGATGTGAGTGATATTGAGTTGGCCGCATTCAGCCAATAACATGGCCACCAAGTCATGTCCATCCAGTCACATTACCACCAAGGCACGCCCACCAACTAAGCCATGCCCACAGAACCGGTTGTTTAAAAATTTGAATCCCACCTCTGGTACTATACATCACAAACTGTACATTTGAACTATGCAGACCATAATATTTATGCCGGCAATGGATATTTCAGAGATTTCTCTGTACTGTTTTTTTCAACTACATACACATTTATAGTATACACATTTATGTTGCTTTCCCCCCGCCCCCAGAAGGCAGAAGCTGCTGCTGAATCTTCAAAAAATATGGAAGCTTCTGCAGGCAGAGCCAGTTATATCAGCTCAGCTCATCTAGAACAGCCTGATCCTGGTGCTGTAGCAGCTTCAGCCATTCTCCAGGCAGTGTTGGAAGGGTTGCAGGCTAAACCATAGTAACTTGATGATATTCTTCCTTAATATAAATCAGAGGTCGCCAACCTTTTGGACCTCAGGGACCACCAGACTCCTAATTTTAGATCCCAGGGACCACTAACTGGTTCTGTGGGTGTGGCCTAATTTGTGGGTGTGGCTTGGTGGTCATGTGACTGGATGGGCATGGCTTGCATGTAAATATTATAAATATTTATCTACATATTGAATTTTTTATAAAAAAAGAGCAACTTTTACCCAAAATCAGGCAAAACAGGCAGGCAGATTGAGTTGCTCACAGAATCACAGATTCATTCAGAAATCTATCTATCTGCCATTGGCTAGCTCAGTCTGTCACATAAAATTTGCTTGCAAGCAACTCACAAAATTAACTCACAATACACCATGCATGTAAATATTGAATTTTTTATTTTAAAAAGAGCAACTTTTACCTAAAATCAGGCAAAGCAAGCAGGCAGATTGAGTTGCTCACAGTGATCTATCTATCTGCCATCGGCTAGCTCAGTCTCTCAAATTTGCTTGCCGTGAATCTGCAATTGAATTTGCTTGCAAGCAAACCTTCAGTCCTAAGGTTCGGCTGTACTTAAAAGCAGAGCCAAAGATCTAAAGACTAGCTAGAAAGCAAGAAATCCAAACATTTCCTGCTTCCTAGCTAATCTAAATCTCCCGGCAAAGTAGAACATATGATGGTCGGAAAAAGGAAAAATAGCAATTTAGCAGGCAAGATTACTGTGTAAGGAGTGAGTGGGCAGGAGGGTTTCCACGGGCCATGTGGCCAGCACGGCCTTGTGTTTCTGTGCAGCCTGGATTAATTGCCTTGGGGTGGTGGTCTGGGGGTGAGATTTCTCTACGGCCCATCAAATTTTCTCATGGCCCACCTGTTGGCAACTGCTGATATAAATCATATTTTAATCGCTATTTTATCCCTGCTATGCAGGACTTACTAAATCCTGGTACTTTTGGCATGACAAGGTTTATTTTAACTTACAAAACTTTCCTGCACATCATTTGGCAGTGTTCTTGAAATGTAAGGCTTGAGAACCGAGTTGTGTTTATATATTTGGGTCTGTTTTCTTCATGCTTTTTGGATTTTGGCTGTTGCAGGGTCCTCTCTTCAAGTTGTTCAAGTTGTTTTTATGTGCTGCATTTCTTCGCTGTATACAAGAGGTGTTTTAAGTTTTGCTGAAACTATGTAATAGTACATTCAAACAATATTGTAGCAATATAGCTTGAACAACTAAGTAAAATGTATGCAAAGATCTTCTAACTGTAGATACCAGGTATATAAATATGCCAGAAACTTTATAAAATACTTCATAAACAATGACTAGGAGTCTAGATATTTTTTTAAAAAACAACAACTAGAACTGCTGAAATTGATACATTGACACAGTATATCTCTAAAGTGTGGTTGACCAAAGCAGATGCTGTTTTTGCTCCTTGTCTGCTGATTTTGCATAGAGATGTCGCTGGCCACTGAGTGAAACAAGATTCTTGACTAGTTAAATTCATTTCCTGACGTAACCTGATTTAGGAGCACAGAAAGCCCCATCATTTCATACGGGCAATCATCACACTTGTTAAACTACTGCATATTTCTTTGCATGCAATACAGCTTATATAAATATGGAACACTTCAATCTAACTTATCTTGCATATACATACATACATACATACATACATACATACATACATACATACATA